TATAAACCCATTTTATCCAACTCAGCCTCTGTTGGACACATACATTGTTAACCGCGGGTTCTGTTTGCTTGCTGTGTTTTACTGACAGAACAGGAAGGCCTGTGCGGTGCATGCTGGACCGCGATGAAGATATGCTTATCAGTGGAGGACGCCATCCTTTCCTGGGGTCTTATAAGGTAGAATATTCTGTCTGGCCAATAAGACATTGGCAACCTCTGTTTCCTTTATTTGTCATATGGACAAGACCAACTGTAAAGAACGTTTTATTACAGGAAACACAGCTTCCTTCCCCCCCCCACAGCTAGACCAAGATTTATGTCAAATTTTGTTTGTTAGTACTTAGCACATACTCTTAATCAGGATGCATTATACAGTACACAATTTTAATTAAGCATAAGCACTAAAACAATTATGTTGGTACAATACAGTAAAAATAAATTAATAAAATAACAAAAAGTCAAGCACACAGTGGAAGAATAACGTATTATGAAAACATCGTAGTAACGAAAGCAATAGACAGATAGTTTGGGCACAGAGAAATAATGCATACTGCTTGTTGATAAGTATAAGTTTTGAGGACAAACAGAAAGGTGGTCAGAGGACCTAACAGGTCTGATTTCTGTGAGTAGTTCATTTCACCATCAAGGGGTAGATAGAAGATGAAGATGGAGAGACACCAGGAAGAGGGAGAATGAAGAATAGGTAGAATAGAACGTATGGTAGAAGAGGAGGAATGGAGCAGGTAAAGACAGTGTTTAGGGAGAAATAAGTGTCTGAAAGAGAAGAGTAGTCAAGACAACAGGAGCCGAGAACTAGGTTTTTGTATCAGAGGCAAACAGCAATAGGGGGCCAGTGGAGTGACTGGAGAAGTGGAGTCACATGTGAAAAGTGAGCAACAGAAAAGACAAGGCGAGGAGCAAAGTTCTGGCAGGGAGACTGGTCAAGAAGGACAAACAATTTAGGAAAGAGATTATCGAGAACTAGATCAAGAGCTATGTAGAGCACTTAAAGAAGGGGTGGATTTTGCCAACACTGCTCAAGAAGCAGCAGCTGGACAATGGCAGAGAAGAAATATGTGGAGTTTAGAAGGGGGAGGGGACAGTACTCATGAGTGACGCAGAGATTCTTGACACATGGGGGGAACAGGGTGGTGGTGACGTCAAGAGGAAAAGCAGTAGAGACGTCTGCAGAGGAGGAAGACTGAGAAGGAAAGAAAAGAGGGTAAAAGTTTGAGAAGTTCAATTTGAGATGATAGGAATATATGCAGCACAATTTTGCTATGTAACAAGCAGAGATATGGGAGGAGACAAGAATAATGTGATCATCAGTGGGAGATTTAAGATTCCTCATCACATAAGATTCAACAATTGTACAAAAAGCCATGGAAGGAGATGACTTAACCCATGGAGTGGGTATACAGAGAACAGCAGGGGGACACACTATGGGCGAGACCTAGTATGTACACTGATGGCAGATTTACTACCTTCTAGTCTGATCAGCATCCCCACAGCATAGCATTTTAGCTAAGCAGGAACTTTAGGGTGACCAAACTGTGCAAGCCAAGGCCACTGGAGGTAATACGCCTTCTCTTCTGAACTGTCCAATTGGATCTTGAATGACCATGTAGTCAATACCTACTGTAGGTCTATCAGAATGATAGCTCCTTCTGTGGCACAATGAGCTTCATCACTATATTAAGGCATTAGTTTAGAAATTCAGGTTCAGAGGGAAGAGTGCCACCAAAATTTCCACCAACCTGACTTGGACCAACCGGTTACATCCCAGTACACCAGAAATCACACAAACAGACAATTTGTTCTGCATCCCGTTTCACGTAACATATTGAAAAGCTTTTTGTCATATGGAAAATATTGCTTTTAGAGTAAAAAAATAATACTAAGCAACAGTTAATTAGTGAAGGTAGAGTGAAGGGTCATTCAGCAAATCCTTTAAAACTTAAAAGAACAGTAATTTTCTTTTCAGGTTGGTTTCATGAACTCTGGACAGGTAGTGGCACTTGATGTCACTTTTTACAGCAATGCAGGCAACTCTGTGGATCTCTCAATCCCAGTAAGTGTTAAATTGTATACTGTATATTGCAAGGCTTTAAGTAAGACACATTGTGCCAGCCTTTTTCTTTATCTCAAATTGCATCACCTCCAAGATTTTCTTATTCTTCATCAAAAAAGTAATTGGCAGGTGTCATGGTGGAACAGGGACCCTGGTTTCAGCATGATCAAGGGGTGAGAAAAACAGTGTTGAGAGAACCATTAGGGAACTGTTTTCATAATTGAGTATGCTTTGAGGAACATTGTACAGTATGTGAAATTGTTCACTAAAGTCTGAAAGGATGAGGCTGTGCAGACCAAGCACTTAGCCTTGACTCACAGAAGCTTAGCAGACTAACAATATGAGAAAAATGTTTAATTGTTAGAATAGACAGCCTGTCTTAGAATGAATAGCTTTTGTGACACAAAAATGGTGTGTGTTAGCAACTGCATCTGCTTTAGAATGAGAATTGTCACTGTGTGGATTCCCACTCTGCAGGGTGAATAAAGCTGGCTCCGATGATCTCCCTTTCTCAAGTCTTTGATTTCTGGATTGGATTCTAAGAAAGTCCAAAACAAGTTTTTACAATTTCAGGAAAACTAACAATGAAGGAGTGAGACAGATCTCAAGTAGAGCAGGACAAAAAACTAAGAAATCGGTTGAGCATGCATAGCAACTGTTCAAAGATATTCTGTCTGACACATAGAACTGATTCATCCCAAGGGTAAGCAATTTAAAGGCTAGAAAGAAGCGACCTAATGATTTAATGAGTTACTAAAAATATAAGCAGGAAAGTGCTTATAATGTGTTCAAAAAAGAACAGGATCCTGATAAAGAAAGTGAATACAAGTGAACTGCCAGTGCTAATATTACAGTAGCTGATAATTATCAGCTTCACCTGTGAAACCGATCTGTTGTGAAGTGAGGCTTCTGGCACATAACAATAGCTATGTGTCATCCAGGGTAGCTAGAGTTGATAAATAACACTGGCTGCTCTGTCACTTGGCATTTAGATCATGGAGCGGGCTCTGTTTCACATGGAGAACTCATACAACATTCCTCACATCAGAGGTACCGGCTTCATCTGTAAGACCAACCTGCCCTCAAACACAGCCTTTCGGGGCTTCGGCGGACCTCAGGGCATGATGGTGGCGGAGAGCTGGATAAGTGATGTAGCAATGAAGTGTGGCCTGCCAGCCAACCAGGTATGAGGGCAGTGAGTGAGACAAAGTCTCTAGAGTACTGTGATCTGAGTGCGGGTCCTAGATGTGACTTGAAAACAACAGCAGTCTCTGTACTCAGGGCCTCAAACAGAGCACCCTAATCCTAACAAAGCACAGAAACCAGCCACAACATGTCATCATACAGTATGGTTGCATATTCAGACAACAACAAAACCAGTCCTTCTGTGCTCTCTTCTCATGTTGATTAGCCTTTGTGCTCTAGGTTTTTCACGTTGATGAATAGGTAAGCTTTCGTTACAGTAAAAGGTAGAATCTGAAAGCAGAAAAAGTAATGTTTTATACTATAATAAGGCTACATTTTACAATGTTTATGTCATGTTTTCAGGAGTGCAGGGAGAAAGCAGTAATGTTTCAAACTGACAACCCTCATGCTTAAAGAAAGTATGTAATGCTGCACAAGTCACAAGATAGGGATGGATTTGTATATTATTATACTACATTCACGTGGGTGCACTTTTACTTATTTTTCACATCGCATTTCTGCCAGTATTGGTGACTTCAGTGACCCATGATTCAGTATTCACTGATTCAGTATCATATTGTATTCTGTAGTCCTGACTATGTAGTTTTTACATCAGATGAAATGAATAAAAACGTATGAGCAGTGTCATACCAGAAGTGATGCTTCAATGTTAATTACACAACATCAATAATTTGAAATATTGCTTTGTGTAGTGCAGTTGTGTTTTTACTTGTAATATTAGTTATAGACAATTAGTAGCAGATAGCAGTATTAATAGTAGAAACAAAAGCAGCTGTACTTGAGGTAGCAGTTGTTTTAATAATCGATAAAATAAAAAATACATTTATTTTTGACTGTCCTTCAGGTGCGCAGAATAAACATGTATAAAGAAGGAGATGTGACACCATTCAGTCAGAAGCTGGAGCAGTTCACCATACAGCAGTGCTGGGAAGAGTGTATGGAGACTTCTAGATATCAGCAACGAAGGGAAGAGCTGGAGGAATTTAACAGGTAATTTAAAGGTCGTTATTTTTTTTTTTGATCTGTAGTCAGTTTACCAATAGAAAAACCTTGTGGAGTACACTGCCCACAACAGTTTGATGAGAACAAGTGACTGCGCATCCAAATCTATATACTGTAGGACTCTCTGAAAACCATTCTTCTGTGCTACATGGTCTTTCAAAATATACATTATTTAAAGTTGTTCAAAGCAAGGTACACAAGTCAATGTCTGTATATAAATAGAAATAATTTAGTAATGGGATAATGATGAAGATATGTTTATAAGTGAAGTTCAGATAAAAGATTTTTAAGATAATTTGTCCGAGACATGAAAGATGAAGGATTCATGTACTTCCAAGCAGGACTGTAGATCATGTTCGTGCCACAGCAGATTGTCAAGCCAGACAGTCTTGGTTTCTATTGCTTTAACCAAACAGTTAGAGTACATGACTCCCTCCCTGGATGCTATACCAGTCCATCAATACCAAAACCTACAACTAACCTCAGAATATGCAGTGATTCAGATTGTTGCAAGATACATTTCCTTTAAATATCAGCTCACCTAAAACTCTGTGGCTCTAAAATTGTAATCCAAAGCGATGTTACAATGGTCTGAATTGTCTTTGCAGACGGAATCGTTGGAGGAAAAGAGGAATTGCCATTATTCCCACCAAATTTGGAATCAGTTTTACAGTCACATTTCTGAACCAGGTCTGTGTTCCTTTATTTCAACAAATCATTTTAAGAAAACATGTATGCATTGTATGTTTTTTATTTATCGGGATCAAATGTAAACCCTTCCTTCAGTGTTGTATCTGCACTGGAATATAGCTGTGAATTTGATGAATGCAGTGCTTTCTGAGAAAAAAATAATCTTCATACTCTTGTTAATAGAGGTGTGTTGTTCACAGGCTGGGGCCCTGATTCATGTCTACACAGATGGCTCTGTCCTGCTCACTCATGGCGGAACAGAGATGGGACAGGGCTTGCATACCAAGATGGTCCAGGTAAGAATCTTTAACCGGACAAGTCCAATCTCGCCTTCACCCTTTATCTTGGTGTGTTTACATTTCTTATTCAGTAGATATTTTGGAAAATTGATTTTCCTTTCCATTTCAAGAAATGTACACGAAACTAGGAAGGACCTCCAGTGGACAGAAGTGAACCCACACATTAAAATGTGAGAAGAAAAGAGTTCAAATCACCTCTGTACGATCATAAAAGCAGTCAAACTTTCAACTACATAATTGGTGCTACATAATTCCTTATCTGAAGGCATTCAGGGTCACCATGTATAAATGCACTGCTCAATTTGTAATATTTCCCTCTCTTCAGGACAAAATTAGCTTTTCCCTCTCTTCCCCACTACTAAGTATAGTTGTAACCCACAGGAATTAATAAACTTGTAAGTGTAACATGATTAACAAAGTGAAACTGGTACAGGGATGTTACTCCTCATAATTCTCAAAAGCATTTAACTTGCCTGTAGGAGGCCCATATTTATAAAACTTCTTCCTTTAATTGAAGTCTGTCTAAATACTTTGTATGACACAAAGTGAAGTAAGTCACTTAATTTTGTATTGACTAATCTTTCTAAATAGTTGTTTCATAATGATGATTGTAATGTGAATTAATGTGTTGCTAAAATACCAGATTTCTCAGTAACTGTGAGTCAATCAGTCTAAATTGTGTTCCAATCTGACCTATAAAACCAGAATTTTAATCCAGATTCTCTGGGCTTCAACCTAAAATGTGTATTTGGGATAAAATTTCCAGTTGTATAGCTGCCTTGAAAAGTGTTGTCTAAAGAAAACAATTGAAGCAGTTGGTGTACTATTAATTTTTTATTTTATACAATAGAGGCTATCGTGGTTATTTCCAGGAATAGATCAGTAGTGGACTCTTCCTTTAGAATTGTCATGTTGTCAAAAGAAAATATAATACTCCATTGCATGTTCTTCTGAGATGGTTAACAAATATTTCAAAAGTCCATGCTTTATTCACTTCTTAATTCTGTTTCTGCATGATTTCCAGGTGAATTAATAATTTAATATGTAATCATATGGCTTTTTTTCCTGATCTAACCATTCATTTTTGTATATATATATGTATTATTTAGGCCTTTATTAACGTTAGGACTCCTGTGATGATGGTGTTAAGGGGGATAATTTAGAATGTCCTCTACATAAAGATTTGTATTTTTCTTTCTTTCTTCACTTAATAGCCAAGTCATCCCAAGTGTTCACAATCTGAACTTCCAGTACCTTCTTTAACTTTAAATGTGTCTTTTTCTCTTTGTTCAGGTAGCCAGTAAAGCCCTGGGCATTCCCTCTTCCAAGATACATATCAGTGAAACCAGCACCAACACTGTTCCCAACACTAGTCCCACAGCTGCCTCTGTCAGCTCCGACCTCAATGGGATGGCCATCTATGTAAGGAGCCTGAATTCCTCTTTCTTTTCAGACAGCAATGTGAAAAAAATTCACATTCTACACATGTGAAAAAACAAAGTTATTTCTAAGGTGCAAATTTCAGAAAATGTGGGCTGATGTGGGCTGGAGGTAATTCCACAGCCTTGAAGTATATTGTAGGCCAAGTATGAAAAAGGTTGGAAATTCAGAGAGAAAAAAAACGGGTTCATAGTGTGAGCTAAAGAAGATAAGAAGCTTCACCGGTGGTTTCTTTTAAGCCTTTTTGAGCCCATTTAAAGGGAGCTGACAATTCCTTGTTCAATATAAATTCAGTCTTGTCCGAGTTCTTGTCAAACGTTTTGTTCCATCACTTTTTTAGCATCATGTGAAATGCCTGGTGATGTTTTTGATTAATGTCAGATTTCCTGCTATCATCAGAATAGATATGAAGGCTGACACTATAGTTAGGAAGAAACTGATCCAATAGTAGCAGAACGTGAGTAAAAACGTAACCTTGCTGAGCATGACATAGCAGCTTGTTGAGGAGTAGCCATGACATGTTTTCCATTATTCAGATAAGATTATATCTACAGCCTATGCTTCTGTAATCCTATGTTTTATGAGATTTTAATTATATGACAGCTTGGAGGTGTGACCCACACATACACAATATTTCCCTTGTTGACAAAGAAAATTCAAGTATCAACTTGCTCTACAGGAAAAATGTATTATTTTTTTATAATAGGACAAAAAAGAAAATACAATACAAATCTTGGCCCCTGTAAAGAAAATACTGATACTCAAAGGACATAACAGCAAAAGCTTGCCAGGCTAGTGTCATCTGTGCGTGCCAGGCAGTTACAATTGTTCTTGGAAGGTAAAATGTCTGAAATTAAAGTAGGTGGGACATGTAGATAGGAGGTGAGGACTAGATCTAATTTAAGATCCTTTTATTTTATTTGATGATCTTTAAATGTGATCTTCCTCTTAGACCGCATGCCAGAAGCTGCTGAAGCGCTTGGAGCCATATAAGGCCAAAAATCCTAAGGGCTGCTGGGAGAACTGGGTAAGGGCCTTCATTTGCTAACACACTGAGAAACATAAACAGTTAAATAGCTGTTGATTGATGACTTTCAAATGTACTGCTGGAAATCTTAACAGAAAGCCTTCTAAACATATTTTATGTTCATCCCTTTTGGAGTAATGCAAAGATGCTGGAAAGTTTTTACTGCATTAGTGGACAATTCACTTGTTTTTTTCAATGTGATAGTAATTCATTAATCTGAGAATCCCATCCACCCCCATTTCATGGAGGAAACTCAATATTTTTCAATAAAATGGGGAGGTCTCTGTGTAATTCTCACAACCTTTCATGTAAGAAGAGTCTCGTGTTGTAACTCCTGTTCAGCCTCTGGCTGAATTAAGCTGTTTTGAATGGTAATTGTAAATCAGGTAAGAGGCTAGTGTAGCACTGTGCACCTCAAACTGCAGGTGCAGTGATTTTATTTTGTTGTCTTTTTTTTGTTTAAAAATTATTTTTAAAAATGTAGTAACTAATATAGGATCTTTAGGGAATATATTTGACACCTATAGGAAGCATATATATTACATTTTAGTTCAGGTGGGTAGCTGCCTCAGCATGCGTAGGCTGCAAAGGAACAAGTAATAGGTTTATTTCATGCTGAAAAAAAGAAGAAGAAGAGAAAAGAAGAAAGAGAACAAAAACGTTTCAGCCGTGGAGCCTTCTTCAGGTGTGAGAGAGGTTGGGAGGAGGAGTGAGAGGCGGGGGCAGGGGACAGAAAGAGGCCAATCAAGAGGTGTGAAGTCAGAATGGGTGCAGAGAGGTGTGAAATGAAACTTCCAATGAATGGAGAAAATTTAAAAGAACAGTAGTCTGTCGTTAAGAGAAGGGAGAATGTGTGATCCTAGCTGCAGAATAATTTTGGTTTCGGTGGTTTTTCTGATGTATGAGTTCGGAAAACCGTCTTTGAGAACACAGACGGAGAGATTAGAGTGGTTGTGGCCGTCAGAGGTGAAATGACAAACAATGGGCTTGGAGAGATCTTTAATCTTCACAGCCCTGACGTGTTCTCTGAAGCTGTCTCTGAGTCTCCTTCCTGTTTCTCCAATGTAGATGGCTGGGCATTTACTGCAAGAGATACAGTAAATAAGGTTGCTGGAGGTACAAGATGCTGTCTGGGTGATCCGGAATTGTCCTGAGGGGTCTTGAATGAGGGTGGTGGTGGCTGTGTACTTGCAGGTGATACAGCGAGCTCTGTTGCAAGGGAAAGTGCCTGGTGTGGATGGTTGTTGAGGGCGGTCAAGGGAGCTGTGAACAAGGAGGTTACGCAGATTAGGTGGTCGGCGATATGAGATGATAGGGCGATCAGAAAAGAGGGCCCCAATGGAGGGATCATCCTGTAGGATGGAAAAGTTGTGGTTAATGGTCCTGGGGATAGGAAGTGTGTTAGGGTGGTAAGGAAGCACCATAGGAATGCGGTTGTTACGGCGGGAGTTCCTGATCGGGTTGATGGTCCGGGGGGTGTTTTTGGCTCGGGCAAGGGCCCTGTCAATCACACTGCTGGGGTATCCTCTGTTGATGAAAAAGGAGTAAATTTCGAGGCCCTGGTTCTCGAAGTCGATGTCGTCGCTGCATAATCAGCACCCATTCTGACTTCACACCTCTTGATTGGCCTCTCTTTCTGTCCCCTGCCCCCGCCTCTCACTCCTCCTCCCAACCTTTGTTCTCCCGCTACTTTACCTTTGCCTACTGCCCTGTCTCTCTCACACCTGAAGAAGGCTCCACGGCCGAAACGTTGTGTTCTCTTTCTTCTTTTTTTCAGCATGGAATAAACCTATTACTTGTTCCTATATATTACATTACTGGAAAACACAGTATCCAGTTTAAACATCTTTTATCTTGGTGGAATGTCCATCATTGTTTACCAGGCTAAAATGACTTTCATACTTTTCCCATTGTATTATGTTCTTAAAACTCCCAACTCTTTAGACATGTAGTGTGAATAGTAGTTTGTTGTTTACTTAAAGAAATAGCTTAATGGAGTTCTTGGATATTTAAGCTATTAGCTGTCTTATGAAGCATATGGTCTGAAGAAAATCCTCCTCTTTATTGTAACTTTATGTTCTTTACAGTGTGTTTGCTTTCCATGGTTTGAATATATCAAGGTTTGACATAACTTCCCTTTTCTTTTTTTCTTGTGATTTTATTGTGATTTCAATGTGTTTTAATACTCTTGTTTTATATCATGCTATAGTTAATTGAAAATGCAAAAAGCAAAAATGCTCAGTATCTTACCAAAGAGACCATAGATAATGAAACATTCAACGCAAGGCCTTATCTGATTTTTTTAATGTGTTTCTTGGGATTCTCTTTGTCAGGTGAGAGATGCCTATTTTGACAGGGTGAGCTTATCAGCCACAGGGTTCTATAAGTAAGTCCATTGGTTAGTGTGATCCAGCTAATTATAAGTAAATTCTTCATTACTTTTTAAAAAATGTTTCTCTGAGTGCTAGTTGTTAAAATATGTAAAAATGTGTTGCATTAAGAATCACTGACACTTTATTTACATTTATTTGTATTTAAATTATTTCAACCTTAGAACAAACCTTTCACCCTTTTAAATTGCAAATGTGTTTACACCAAGGGTGCAAGCAATAATGTTTATTCCATTTATTCATATGTTGTTAATGCACAAGTATTTTGTCATTTATTCAAATGTCCAAATAAAATAGAATACATTTTGCAAAATGTTTTTTATACATGCACAAAACATTTAAATAAAATGTACAACCATATAAATATGTTTAGAAAAACAATTATTCAATGGTTGTGAACTTCTCTTTGCTAGGCCATTGCACAATTGTGCCAACAATCTTGCCGTATTATTTCAGGCTAGGAAGAATTATCATCAGTACAGAGAAAAACTAGAACAGTGAGAAGATTCATCCTTATTTATAGAATTATCAAGTCTCAGTTTAAAATCATGTTCTGACCTGTTCCTTTTCATCTAATTACAAAGAGACAGAGATGATACAAGATTCAAGTCATAATATGGATGGGAAGAGGCGATGCATTATGTAACAGATCGTTGTAAAACCGTTTACTTGACATGAACTTTTAATACTCTCTTTACAAAATGTACCACTTTTGAAACAATGCAAGTGCTGATAACAATATAAATATTTACTCACGACCCACAATCAGACATAATGATCACATATGTAGTTCAGGTGGGTAGCTGCGTCAACGGGCGTAGGCTGCAAAGGAACAAGTAATAGATTTATTTCATGCTGAAAAAAAGAAGAAAGAAAACACAACATTTCAGCCATGGAGCCTTCTTCAGGTGTGAGCCCAGGTTCAGGTTTGCTCACACCTGATGAAGGCTCCACGGCCGAAACGTTGTGTTTTCTTTCTTCTTTAAAATGATCACATACTATTGTTTTAAAAATGTCTTTAAAAGGATTTTTATGTTTTATTGGGGTTTGTTTTTTACTATTATTTCTTTAGGATCCCTGATATTGCCTATGATTTTGAAAAAAATGAAGGAAAACCATTTCATTACTTCAGCTATGGGGTGGCATGCTCTGAGGTTGAAATTGACTGCCTGACAGGTGACCACAAGGTAATTTAATTTGACCCGAATGTTGCTAGAGGAAATAAGGTATCTTCTGTGTCTTGAATATTGTTAGTAGAACTACAGCATGTCAGAGCAGGTTTTATATTTACTGTATACTGTATGTGGTAAATGTAGGGAATTTTTTGTAAATTGTAAATTTCCTGCACAGAGATGGCTAAATACCTGAACTTTTTAAAATGAATTTGATTTTGTCTGAATTAATCTGCAACATAGTGTGAAATATTACAAAGGAATGCTTTAAACATATTAAACTATAAGAATGCACAGCCATTAATGAAAATTCTCTTCAGTCTTAAGAATGATAGAACCAAGAAATGCATATTTTGAATAATGTGACTGTAAAATGGACATACTGATACTTTTCTACACCTAATACATCTAAAAAGAATCAGAAATGATGAACAATTAGGGGAATAATTTCACATTCATTTAATGACTTGACTTTTTCCCTCCTAGAACCTTAGAACCTACATTGTTATGGATGTTGGCTTAAGTCTTAACCCTGCTATTGATATTGGTCAGGTATGTTAGTATTAATTATTTGCTTTTGATAACTGCAGATTTATTTGGATGTTTAGAGACAGCCTTTAAGACCTTTGATTTAGACCTAAAATGTTTTTGTACACCTTTGTGTTCTATGATACAATTCAAAAACAAGGCTAATTTAAATTCTAATCTAATTGTTTTTCTTATAGTTCTGTGTCATTCAGAAAGTTCATAATAAAATAAGGGTGTTGAGTTAAAGTAGTGCTCAGAAAATCATTTTATATACTGCTGTATTGACCAGTAATTTCATGTTAACATATAAATCAGCCTGATTGTTTTGTTCCAGGCTTCAAATTGTAAAATTATTGAAATGCTCTTAGAAAAGTTTGAAGACATACAACAAAATATGAGGCATCATAGACACAGAACAGCCTATGCCATTTTCTTTTGGAAAAGAAGACTTTGGGAAAATGTATACTTGATGTTATGTAGTGTTAGAAAAAAGCTAATGTTAGATACAGTAGATACCTTATTAATCCCGTAATGGAAATTAGCAGCCAGGCACAATCAGCACAGCACAGTACAACAATATAATACAATAAATGCAGTCAGTAAGAAATACAATAAATAATGGAGAAGAAAAAATTACATACAATACAAAATATACAAAATAAACCAGAATGTACAGTGCACAAAGAAAATGTTTTGCACATTATAGATATATTGCACAATCCACAAGCATATTACACAATTATAAATATATATTACACAGTTATAGATATATTGCCCAGTCCACTTCTACATATTGCACACCAGTTGTAAACAAAACACCAGTTGTAAACAGAGGATTCAGATTTAGTCCCAAAACAGATCAAAGTTGCCCCTGCCCAGACACACAATAGCTGAGCTATAAAGTCTTAAGCAGTAAATGTTGCCTTAGAGCAAAGGATTTTGAAAGTTGGTAAACTACATCCCTCTGTTCAGGTGGAAGGTGCATTCATGCAAGGGGTGGGCCTGTTCACTATGGAGGAGCTACGCTACTCTCCTGAAGGCCTCTTGTACACCAGAGGTCCTGGCACGTACAAGATTCCCGGATTCGGTGACATCCCCACGGAGCTCAGTGTGTCGCTCCTTCGAGATACTCCCAATGCCAAGGCCATCTTCTCTTCCAAGGTAAGTGGGCTGAAGTGCTGGCCTGGTTACAGATTGCTCCCTTACATGCCGAACAACTGCTCAATGTTAGCTTAACAAGTGTCTTAACCTGTACTGTTTTCTACTAAGATGTGTTTATTCACAATTAAAACTAGTGAGACCACTAATTATAGCTGGTTACAGTACAACAACCAATTTTTAGTCTCTTTGCCTTTGTACTCAATCTTTAAGTCTATAAATACAGTAGTTATATTTGTTGAAAATATGAAATGTGGTGACCATTATTGGCTGGAATTAGCCTATTCAGCCAATTACTGATTACAAATCCACAAGGAGAGTTTCTGCCCTGTTTCCACCTAGTTGTAGTCAGATGTCCACCTAGGCTTTACATATAACAAGATAAAAATATTTTTTCTTGAAGTGTAAATCCTTTTTTGATCTGTTTTTTTTATTTTCATTTTTTTTTGCCACAATGTGGTTAACATCACCACCTTTAGATTTAGAAGTTAAATCACATTGGGAATGAACTGATAAAATCTGTTTAGACTGTTTTAACATGAGACTGACAGCAAATGTGTGTAGCCTGCATTGTCTCAACTGCAATCTTGCTGCTTATTATTATAGAACTGAAGTATGAGGTCCATTAAAGAAAGTCACCAACTATTCCCTCTTATTCAACTAATAATATGATTGGATCCTGACTTCACATTTTAAAATACAATCAGGTTTAAAGCTTGATGAGCAACTTACATTGAATACATTGTATACCCAAATACTGGTAAAGTTCTCAGAGGGCTCTGATAGCGTTGATGTAATTGAATTTGCCTGTATTATTTTGGTAGCAGTTTATATTTCTCTGCAGGCAGGGAACACAGCCGCAGATCAGCAGCTAGCAGCTCAGATTTCAGAGACTGAAAAACTTTCACCCGGGCTCAGCCGTGCTGATACTTGGGGACTTCAATCACATTGACTTAGACAGTTTTTGTTAAGGTTTAAACATCAGATACAGTACATGTTGCCACCAACATGTATGATAAAATACTATATTACAGTACTATCCCTGATGCATTTCATGCTGTGACACGCCCACACCCCCCTTGGTCAGTAATCACAAATCACAGTCTTCCTCATGACTAAATATTGCCAAAATTCAAATCCACCAAACCTTCAAGTAAGACCATAAAACATTGGTCCTCCTCAGCAGTAGCTATGTTAAGTGAGTGTTTAGATCTGGACAGTTTTTAGAGAGACAGGTAGTGACTTAGATTAATATACTGACACGGTTACTTCCTACAGAACATTAATTGTTCTAAAAATGCATGCATTTAATCTAAGACAGTGACTGTTTTTTGTAACTACAAGCCATGGTTTAGCTGGGAGGCTAGGATATCACACAGGAGTAAAAAAGTTTGTCAAGGTGGAGATGGAAAACAGTACAAAATTGCATGATTTCGAGTGGGCTGTAAGGAGGGGTAAGACTAATTAAAAGGATAAGCTGAAGAACAGGCAACATGCCAACGATAGTCAAGGGGTGTGGCAGGGTTTCCAGGTGATCACAGGCTATAATTATAATAATAATTGCTTACACTTATATAGCGCTTTTTTGGATACTCCACTCAAAGCTCTTTACAGGCAACGGGAACTCCCCTCCACCACCACCAATGTGCAGCATCCACCTGGATGATGCAACGGCAGCCATAGTGTGCCAGTACGCTCACCAAACATCAGCTATTAGTGGGGAGGAGAACAGAGTGGTGAAGCCAATTTTTAGATGGGGATTATTAGGAGGCCATGATTGGTAAGGGCCAATAAGAAATTTGGCCAGGACGTCGGGGTTACACCCCTACTCTTTTCGAGAAACGCCCTGGGATTTTTATTGACCACAGAGAGTCAGGACCTCGGTTTTACATCTCATCAGAAGCACAGCACCTTTTTACAGTATAGTGTCCTCATCACTATACTGGGGCATTAGGATCCAAATAGGCAGCAGGGTGAGCGCCCCCTGCTTGCCCCACTAACACCTCTTCCATCAGCAACCTTAGTTTTTCCCAGAAGGTCTCCCATCCAGGTACTGACCAGGCTCACTCATGCTGAGCTTCAGTGGGTTGCCAGTTATGAGTTGCATGATATGGCCACTGGCAAAAGGCTTAAAGGTCAAACACACAGTCTATAACAATCACCCCAAGCTTCCTTATAGCATTAATGAATTTTATTGTAGATTTAACAGATAGGTAACCAACAGAGTCTGCCTGTACTAGTAGAGCCCCTGAACCCTTTGTGATTGAGGACCACAAGGTCATAAACCTACTATTCAGACAACATAGCAGGAAGGCAGTGGGACCTCTTAAGCACTGTGCCTACCATTTTAATAAAGGTCACTTAAGAAGTGTAAAGTTTCTGCATGTTTTAAGTCTGCAGTGATTATACACAAGCCATTAGGCACCTCAACATCTTGGTTAATGCAAGTACCAAATGGGACAAAATTCCTTTTTTTTATTTTAAACTTTGAGTGTAAGATTAACACATTGAATGTGACCTATGTGTAAAATTGTTGTTTCTGTTGGGTTTTTTTTTATTTGGGCTGCACAGGTGAAGTCCAGTCAATTTTGCTGACATGACAATAAAGTACTGAATCCTTGAATCTTTGCAGGCCGTTGGGGAGCCCCCACTCTTCCTCGCTGCCTCTGTGTTTTATGCCATTAAAGATGCCATTGCAGCAGCAAGGGCTGAGTCCGGTTTCACTGGGCCCTTCAGACTGGACAGCCCAGCAACTCCAGAGAGAATCCGTAACGCCTGCGTCGACACCATCACCAAACTGGTGTGTACCAGTGACCGCACTTTCCTTTCTCTGGGCTAGCTGTTACAATTAGCTCCAGAACTACTTAATGCTCATTCAAAAGGTTGATTATATTTAAAAATGAAGTGGCATCTAGATAGATACTTTATTGATCCCGTGAGGGAAATTGCAGTGCAACAGCAGCTTAACACAGACAACACAGCCACAGTGTAACGAATGATACAATAATAATAATAATAATACAATACATACAATACAATCAGTACAGTGAGGGGTGCACTAAAAGAGTTACTCACACTCCGGACACACAAAGAACAAACTAGAACAGAACAGTACACAGAAAAATCGTATCACACATATGAATATAAATATAGATGTAAATATAGATATAGATATAAATGCATTGCACAGGTCCCTGGCATATATTGCACAAGAACGGGAATAGAAAAAAAAGAGAACAGATCTAGCAGTAGATGTGTTGATATGTTCAGTCCAGAAACAGGTCACTGTCAATGTTGCCTCTGCCCAGACGCAAGGTGGATGTGTTGTACAGTCTTATGGCAGAAGGCAAGAATGACCTCCTGTAGCGCTCCCTGTCGCACCGTGGATGAATCAGTCTATTGCTGAACGTGCTCTTCATTTCTGCAAGCCTGTCATAGAGGGGATGGGAGATGTTGTCCATGATGGCCTCTACTTTGGACACCATTCTCCTCTCAGCCACTACCTCCAAGGGGTCCAGGTCAGACCCAATGACAGAGCTTGCTCTCCTGATGAGCTTGTTCAGCCTTTTAGAATCCACTGCTCTAATCCCAGGGCCCCAACATACCACTGCGTAGAAAATGGCGCTTGCTTCCACTGACTGATAGAACATATGAAGTATCTTACTATATACATTGATATATATTGAAGGACCTGAGCCTCCTCAAGAAGTAAAGTCGGCTCTGTCCCTTCTTGTAGATGGCCTCGGTGTTCTTAGACCATTCCAGTCTATCGTCGATGTGCACTCCCAAGTACTTGTACGAGTCCACCATCTCCACGCCACTCCCATGGATGTAGACAGGAGTAGGTTTGACCTTTTTCCCTCCTGAAATCTACCACCAGTTCCTTTGTCTTTGTTACATTCAGTTCCAAATGGTTCACCCCACACCACTCCACAAAGCTGCTGACCAGTCCTCTGTACTCCTCCTCCTGCTCACCCTTGATACATCCCACAATTGCAGAGTCATCTGAGAACTTCTGCAGGTGGCATGACAGGTGGCATGAAAAGATATGCAACAGCATTTTTTTTTCTGTTGTAAAAGAGTAACTTAAGTATTGTCACGGCCGTCGGTTCTGACTCCCGTGGAATGCGTAGTGAAAGACCCTGTGTGAGACAGTATAATCCGGAAGTGACTGGAGTAGGACATCAGGAAAGACACAGCAGGAACGGGTCAGGTAGAAACACACGGGGTGTTGACGGGCGTGATCTGGTGCAGGGGGGGGGAGTGCAGGGCTAACGAGTCCAAAAGGTAGTCCAATAGAGGAAATCAGGGCGTAGTCCAAGGTCCAGGTGCTGGGAGATCCATCCAAGACGAACACAGGGAACAGGGACCTAGGAATACAGATAGTTAAAACCTTGATGGGACAAGGCGCTCTAAGCCCCGGACTCAGAAGTTCAGGACACCATGATGAAGCCTGTGCCCATTGGTAGGCAGGCTTCCAGGTGTCCGTCTTCCAAGGTGGAACCCCAAGCTACGGAGACGCCGGGCTTAAATAGGGAAAAGGGGATAAGACACAGCTGGGACAAATAAAACTGGGAACACAACAAAAAAGGTAGGAGCGCCCTCTAGAGGAGGGATGACTACCGTGACAGGTATATTCTCACTTGTATCCAAAATGTAACGTATAGGGAACTCACGCAGAAAAGTAGTGAGAACCTCTATTTTCTTCATTGCAGATCCCCTCAACGCTTTCAAAATAGCTATTCCTTAAAGCTGATGTTCCTTGGTTTTTATATAGTGCCTTGCAAGTATTTAGATCTTTTATTCCCTGGTTTTCACATTCAATTGCTTTAAATCTTACAGTCATAACAGTTTGAAGTACCAAATATTTGTTATATACACAATATATTCCACACATTCCACACAGCAGAAAAATAATTAAATGAATAATAAATATGAAAGAAAACTGAAAAGATCATAAATATTTAAACCTTTGCCACAGCAAAACTAAATTTAAGTGCACAAAAGTACCATAAATGGCCACATAATTGGTTGAGTGGCCTCTGTTTCCAACAAAGACTATTCAGATTCTAGTAAAGATTCAAACATTAAGTCCAAGGAAGTCTCAAAACTCAGGGATAAAGCTTTATAAAAGTCCAAATCAAATCATATACAAACATTTTAAAGACCCTTAATTTCTTTGAGGGCAGTACTGTGATGCAGTGGTTAGCATTGCTGCTTAGCACCCATGGGGTCCTGGGTTCAATTCCTGGGGTGCTATCTGCATGGAGTTTGTATGTTCTCCCCATGTTCCTGTGGGTTTCCTCCAGGTGCTCCGGTTTCATCCCACATTTCAAATCATACTGGTATATTAAGTGGTTTCTGGGAAAATTGGCCGTAGGTGTGAGTGCATGTGTGTGTATCTATGTGTGCCCTGCGATGGACTGGTGTCCTATCCAGAGTGTGTCCTTTGTGCCCATTGCTTGCCAGGATAGACTCCAACTCCCCTGCAACCTTGTGTTGCATAAAGTAGTTACAAAAATGGAAGGACGGATAGAATACTCTTGAGAATGGTGAAGGCAATCATTAAGAAGTGAAAGACACCTCAACACTACCCAGATTAGGTTGTTCCTCCAAACTGAACAGCTACCATGAGGCTCAAGGTGAGAGTTACAGAGTTAAGTGGCTGAAATGGGAGAAAATGTTCAGTGGTCAACAATATTCCAGTCACAAATGGGGATTTTATGGAACAGAATTAAAAAAAACATCTCAAATCCTACATGATGTTTGCAGCAAACCCCTATGTGAAATTGCAATCGTGGCAATACCATTTTCCAAAACAAGACAAAACTGGAAGTTTCTAGTCTGAATGTAAAGTCCTACTACTGACAACAAACCTACCATAGCGCATAGTGGTACTGTAGTTTGCCTTCTCATCAGCAGGGTCTGATAAACTTGTCCAGAAAGATAGAAAAATAGATGAAGTAAAGCACTGGCGAATCATTGGGGAAAGCTTCTTTGAGACCTAAAACTGGGATAGAACATCACTTCCCCTGGAGTGGTTAAAACCAGGAAAGTGAATATCCTTGAGTGGCCCAGTTCAAACACCTCATTGGAATTCTATTGAACATTTGTTGAAAGACTTGAAAACTGTTGTCCATAATCAATCACCAGGCAACATGAGACAGCTTTAGCACATTTTTCACAGAGAACGGAGAACAAACTGGACAAATCTGGTGTTGTCCAGTTTGGAAAGACTTACCCAGAAAGACTTGTAGCTGTAATTGGTGTCAAAGTTGCCTCTACCAACTATTGAATTCTCAGGTCTGAATACTTATTCAGTCAACAAATTAATTTTTTTCTCTTTAGTGATTGCTGACTTTTATTGTAACTTATCTTTACCCTAAATGTCCTCAGCTGAACATTCAGGTTTTGAATAATGTATTCAATTTAAAAAAATGTGTACAAATAATTTTACAGTTTTGCAGTATGAGACACAATAGGAAGGGTCTGAATGCAAGACACTGTATAATCTGTTTCAGGTGATGGATGTTATGCTGCCTGAAATTTATTTCCTGATATAGAGTCATCTCTGTTTTTCTAAATCAAAATGATTATCTAAATTCTTTTGAAATGCTTTAGCTATATAAGATATTCAGACAAAAATGAGCAACTAATATGTAATGCTAATGCAGTAAGGTCCTAACCTATATTTCCCAGTTCCCGTGTCTCTAGTCAAAATGCTGTTTCATAGCGTTCACTCAGAATGTGTCCTATACCCCACAGTTTCAATGCATGCAGTGCTTGCTGACTGCAGTTTGAACCATTTTTGGGACAGGGCACAATTGTTTGAGCACTGCTGAATTAGAGCAGAATTTGGGAGTCTGGGAAGTTTCAGGAACAGCTCCGTCAGTTCTTTTCTCAGCACAGCTACTTGAACTTGCATTCTTTGACAAGAAAATAGCTGAAGAACACAGATGCATTCTTGTTTTACTTCTCCATGACTGTGTGGTAAGTGTACTGGTTACTTGGCTTAAGAAAAAAATAGGTATTCTTAACTGTCAAGTGCACTATGGAAAAATAATTGGCAAGATTGAATTCTGATGTAGGGATTGGTCTTCATTATCTTCATTGGCTCTACAAATATGTGTCCCTAAATTGCAGCGCATCATGTCTCATTTTCATCTCATTTACACCTGCTTTGTTTCTTCAGTGTCCCCCAGCAGAACCAGGAACCTTCACTCCCTGGGCAGTGGAAGTGTGAAGAGCAACTTGTTCACCACTCTCACCAAGAAGCAAAGTGCCTGTGGCCCATTACATTGTTCAGGGAAGATCTGTTCTGTAACCTGATTACAGAAATATCCCAGTATCCCATCACACAAAACAGCAATAAAGTACACCCTGTTTAACTTTCACTAAGATGACTGCTCCTTTTCAGATGTGCCACACACTTCATCTCCCTTTCTGAAATCAACACTAATCTAAACTAATAAGCAGTTACTCTCAAATGGTACATTTGACAAACCATTATGCTTAATATTATGAATCAAATATAATGTTGTACTTATTTTATGCAGTTAAATTGTAAGACACTTTGTCCTAAACTGTAAAATCCTCAAACTGTTCACATGCTAATTATTCTTAAACATTGATGATACATTGTAATGTAAAATATATGTATTAGAAATGTATTTCTTAACAATATTAATAACAAAGATTATTTTAAATCAATTTATTTTATTTGTTTAATCGCAACTGCATAAAGTCATCGGTGCTGCCTCCTTTTGAAATCACTGTGCAATAAAACAGGCTGCAGTACAAAGATTTTATGACATGTCTACAAAGAATTCAAATGTAACAATCTGAGTTAAATTAAAATTAATAAAGAATGAAATGGCTAGAAGTGATGATTACATTTGCATAAATGGCTGTGGAATCAGTAGAGAATGGATAGATGCAAGTTAGAAATAGAGTCATAACCATAGGGTAAATTCACCCACAAAACAATCAGATCAATGTATGAAAGTAGGTATGTAAATAAAGAAAAATAACGGGAGAAATAAAGACCTAGAGTGGAGAAATGAGTAACATACAGTGTATGAATTAAAAAATAAAAGTGAGGTATAAAGTAAAGCAGGCATTAGAAATGCTAATAGAGCCAGAAAAGATTAATCCTTTTCACTACTATCACAAATTGGTAATAAAGGATTTTGTATTGAAGTTAAAAAGGTAATTTGGTGCTAAAGGTTTTACATTTAGACAGCACTGTATTGAATCCCATATTTCTTCTAATAGAAGAAGTAGGAAAATGAGAAATATGAATCATACGAGACTCAGGCAGATTCACTTGAAATAGCATAAAAAAGGAATTGCAGGATACTATTAACATCCATCCATTTTCAGACTGCTCCAAACGGGATACTTGCTGGACAGGAGTCCAGGCCATCTCAGGGCACACACAGACACAAAAACACACACACAATTACACCAGGGCCTGTTTTTCCATAAACCAACCTACCAGTATGTCTTTGGATTGTAGGAGGAAACCAGAAGTCCTGGAAAAAACCCACACAATTACACTTAGGGCACCCCAGAAACTGAACCCCACTGTCCAATTGTCCCAGTGTCCCAGTATCCAATCACACAAACAGCAATACTAACCACTGCACCACCAGGCTGCCCTACTATAAATAAATTTAAAAAGCTTAAAGAAACTGCAAAATCTGCAAAAAAAAACCATGAAATTTAGTAATATTACAAAATGATTACTGGTGTTTAATTTCCTTTTGGCCATTACCCAGATTGATGTAAATTATAATGCTATTTAATATAATGCCTTTCATTGGTTTAATTCCGAAAACCTAATGAAAATACAATTATATCATAACTTTAGCCACAATTTTGTAGTAAAGTTAATCACAATTAAGACAATCTGAAAAGTTCTATTTACCACAATTCACATAAAGGCAATTACAGTCTCAAAGCGCTGATTCTCAAAGGCTTATCAGATTTACTCTTTTATATAGTTATTGACAGACGAAGTGCAACAAGTTTTAAATCAATATGACTCAATCATACTCAATCAATATAGAAAAATAACAATCAATTTAAAAAAAAGTTAAATTACCTTTGTCTTTATATAGAGACATAGATGTTTAAAATGTATTTTTAGCATATTGTAAATAATTAACCTGCATCCTTCATTCACTTCATTAATATTTTTCAAAAGTTATTGCCATTTCTCATGGCTTTATTTTGGCTTTTGAACGTCAGCTGCGATTGAAGCATCAGTGCTGATTTTTTGGATGTGAACTGCAGGACCTATTTTTATTCATCTTTTATATATGAGACATGACCCATGAGATGGAATCAGACTATTTCATGACCAGGGATGAAGACTCCAATTGCTTTATGTGAGCAGAGAAAATAATACTTATGTAAAACCCTTTGGTCCTATTCCATTAAGAACACATCAGAAAATGAGGCCATATGCTATGCTTCAATCCTAAGAATGAATATATGAATGTAAATTCAGTCTATGTTGTATTTTAATCAAATCAACTGGATGTTTTGCAGAATAGTGGGTATTTTTGTAATTGGCTTAGAATTCATTATTAGAATTTTGAAAACAAAGAAAAATAGCACTTCACAAACATCGCCACTAAATCCCTTTGCCTCTTCCACTTCTGATACCAATGTTTTTAAAAATAAATGTATTTAGGTGTATTTAAGCATTAACAACAACAACGAATACAAAACAAACAAAAGTACATATAACACTTGAAGACAAAAGCATTGTCAGGAGTACATATGGCAAAATAAATACAAATTATGAAAAAGGCTAAAACAAATTAAAGAAAAAGTCCGCACCGCTTTCATATTTTTACAATTTCAAATAGTCTGCAGATACTCCTTTACATCCATTTTAAAATGTTCAAACATATGATTCTTCCCAGGCCATTTAATTTTGTGTATATGATAACGTGCCATTATAATTAAGTTAATTAAACATTATTTTTTGTATTATTTCCGATGGGGCAAAATTTAACATAAAATCAATTTCTTCAAAGAGAATATCAATATTGGTCTCATTTTTAATGTAAGCTTGCCAGTCCAGAAAGTTTTTACCATGGGACGTAACCAAAATAAATGTTGCAATAGTTTCAGGGCTATTGTCACAAAAAAACACATTTATCATCTATATTAATTTTAAATCACTGGACAACAAGGGTCTTAACTGAGTAAATTCGATGAATTATTTAGTACGAAACCTCCTTAACCTTATAAGTTATACAATATTTATTGGGCATCATCCATTTTTTTTCCAATCAACCCATTTTACAAATAAGGAATTCAAATATACTGTAACAGGGAGGATATTATCATCTTGCAACAGAGATCTTAAAATGTATTACATCCACAACTCAATATTTCCCTTCCTTTTAGTCTGATGCAAGCTGTAAATTCTTCCAATGTTTCTAATGGACTACTATTGCAACTCCTTAAAAGAGTCAATATTTCCCTAGGAATCGCGTTAGAGTGAAATATTGATAAGAATTAATAGAAATTTTATATCTATTAACAAACTCAGTGTAATTATATTGTTCAGGTGGGTAGCTGCGTCAGCATGAGTAGGCTGCAAAGGAACAAGCAATAGGTTTATTCCATGCTGAAAAAAGAAGAAAGAAAACAACGTTTCGGCCATGGAGCCTTCTTCAGGTGTGTGCTTTCAGGGCTGCTTTCAGAAAGGTCACAGTTAGCATCTGTATTGATTTTCAATCTCTGCAGGGTCTTTCTGATTCATACAAAATAATTAATCTAATTTACCCAGTTAAAAACCTTGAAGTCCAGTGATTTAAAATTAAGTGTGCTCACACCTGAAGAAGGCTCCACGGCCTAAACGTTGTGTTTTCTTTTTTTCAGCATGGAATAAACCAATTGTAATTATATTGTAACAACCGCGGGCTTAGGTACGGAATGGAGCAGGCATAGGCCTCTGGGAATGAGGCTGAAAAACACATTTAATAACTCGATCCGGAGATGGCCATGGCCATGGAGTCACAGTACCACACCTACACACACACACCCGAAAGGAAGAGACCGTCTCCCAGCCTCAATCCCTCTATATACAGTCCCGTAGTCCCGCCCCCAGGTGCTGTTCTCAGCCCGCCTTGCGGGCGCATGGCTAAAGCGTCCCTCGTGGCGCTACAATATATTTCACCCTCAGCATTGATAAATTGTTTAACCCAACTTATACCATTTTTGACCCAATTTTCAATGATCAAGGTTTTATTTTTAATTTATATATATATCTGTTATTCAAAATGGTAAATCTATTAGGGGACTGCCGATACCAACGTTAAAACGTTACATTGCTCAATCATTGCATTGTGCTCGATGTTTTCTGCCTTATCCATGCAACTTTTCTTAGGCTCATCATTTGATTCGTTGAGTCTGCGCTTGAGAGCTAAGGCGGTTTGGCTCCACGCGGGTCATACATTGTGATCTGTGATTGTTACAGCTCAGTAAAAATACAGCTGCAAAATTTAATAAGCGGGCGATATGGCGGATTCACAAGAGGAGAAGCTGTACAAAGCCGAATACGCTAAAAGTGGTCGAGCTTCTTGCAAGAAATGCAAAGACAATATCGCAAAAGATTCTCTCCGGATGGCTATAATGGTGCAGGTAAAGCACGTAATTTGCATTCTTTGATATGAGGAAGAAAGAAGTTTGTTTATATGTAGTTCATGCATATATTAACGCAGCAAAGAACCATCAGAGTGAAAAAATACATTCGATCCTGTGATAATTCGATGGAGTATGCATCATTAACTGATAGGCCGTACTTGGGATTTATTTACATTGCAACTCAAGTGATGGAGTAAACGGTGTCTGCGTTTGAGACCAACCATGTTTCTTGAAACATTCCCTCTTGGTGCACGATTGGTGCATAAAGCACAAGGTTTTATAGTCTGTTTTCAAACGTCTCGAAATTGAAATTGAACTATTGTAATGTTTAAAAAGCATTGATTGTAAAAATAGGTCATGTTATTCGGTTTCAAGCATGCATGAGATGATGACCATAGTATGTAGTAAGCAGTGTTTTCGTGAATAGTTTCCCTTACATTTAGCAACCATTATCAATAGTATAAATTTGTACTTTTTAGTAACTTTATTTTGAATCCGTAAACGAAGTAACAAGATAAACAACTGTTTTGATTTCATTAATGATGCAGTACCAGCTCATACAGTTCATTATCAGTAATCATTTTCACTTAATTAATGTCCCTTTTAACTCAGATATTGTACTGTTTTTGCAAATGTTGTGTTACAGCCAAGGAAAATACTTTATTCACATGTTGTACAGAATCCACAGAATCGATGCAGTATGTAATTTCGTTTTCCAGACCGTTGTGTGCTGAGGTTGTACAGCAAGAAGAATCAAAATAATATCTTAAATGAGGCCCACTGATTTGTTTTGACTCAAGCGCAATGTATTGATAATCGGAGTAAGTGATCGGTGATGTGACGGGATGTAATAGCCCTTGCTACGGAGTGTGATGATCATCTTCATTTTTCTGTAGCGGTAATGTTACTCTTATGGCTGCAGACCAAAGCTTGTGATTTAACTTCTGGATATTTAGTGTTTTGGATTCGAGTACAGGAAGTACAAGAAAAATTGCACCTTCAAACTCTTAGTTAACGGAAAACATCTTCATCTGTAGCTTTTCCGGTTGTTTAATCTACGTCCCAAACATTGCAGTGAAACTTCTTTGTAGTTAATGTTATCGTAAATGAGTAGTTTTATAAATGTGATTACAAATCCGACACGTTTAAATCGTTTTTTGATCGTTTTTTAAATTTGTGATGTCTGAGTTTTGTTAAAGAGGGAGTCCTGAAGGACACAAAGCAGGCTCTTTCTGTATATTCGCTGACATTAGAGCGATCTTTTAACTTATTAATGTGATATCAGCGTTAAAATAGACATTTCTTTGTTTCATACCCTTGTTTAGGGTATGTAAAGAAACATTACAACAATACTGCCGATATTGATGTGATGCTATCAAAAGCAATCTGATCTCCATAATATGGAAAATAAAATGGAGTATTGAAACACTTGAACAACCCCACCCCCAAGAAACCTTAATATAGCTTCTATGTTGGTCTCTTGATTGCCCTGCACCACCCTTTTATGTGATTTAGGGGTAACACTTGACAAATGATACATGCCTTTCTGCAGGACCATAATGCTTCCAAAATGTCAGGTTTCAGCATTTTTTGACTGGAGGGTGACCCCTGTAGCTTACGAGGCACACGTAAACCTACAGTGTTGTGCAGAGCTGCAATCCTCTATCACAGTGGTTCTCAAACCTTTTGGACCAAGTACCACTCCTGATGAAAGCAAAGCAAAAGCAAAGTACCACCTACAAGTCATCTTCTCATAGGAACCACAGAAAACCTCAATGACCAACATGAGTGCGTGCACACACACATATAATAAAAATAGCACTGAGCACTTACCATTTAAGTGAGAGGGGTGATCCTGTTTAATCAAGCAAAGCCTTGCAATGTCAGGGAAGAGGGCAGTGAGCTTCGAATGCAGATAATAATAATAATAATAATAATAATTGCTTACACTTTATATAGCGCTTTTCTGGACACTCCACTTTTCTGGGACTCCCCTCCACCACCACCAATGTGCAGCATCCACCTGGATGATGCGACGGTAGCCATAGTGTGCCAGAACGCTCACCACACATCAGCTATCAGTGGGGAGGAGAGCAGAGTAATGAAGCCAATTCATAGAGGAGGATTGTTAGGAGGCCATGATTGATAAAGGCCGATGGGAAATTTGGCCAGGACGCCGGGGTTACACCCCTACTCTTTTCGAGAAACGCCCTGGGATTTTTAATGACCACAGAGTCAGGACCTCGGTTTTACGTCTCATCCGAAGGACGGCGCCTGTTTACAGTATAGTGTATAGTGTCCCCCTGCTGGCCCCACTAACACCTCTTCCAGCAGCAACCTTAGTTTTTCCCAGGTGGTCTCCCATCCAGGTACTGACCAGGCTCACACCTGCTGAGCTTCAGTGGGTTGCCAGGTGTGAGTTGCAGGGTGATATGGCTGCTCTGGCTCAGCATCCATTTTTTTGCGGTACTTTGCCTTGATTGCAGTGAGAGCAGAGAAGCCTTTCTCACAAAGGTAGGTAGTAGCGAAGGCATCAAAAACCACACAGCTAATGAGAGGGCTGGGTATTCACTCTGTCTTTGGATCCAGAAATCCTACAGTGACTGGTGTTTCAATTCTGACATCAAAGTTGCATCAGATGATAACTCGAGCAACTACTCTTGTTCAGCACAGGTGAGATCTTTGGGTATTCCTATGACATCAACAGTAAAGGCATTCCTGATCCACTCTGGTGTGGCCTCAACTGGAAAATACTCTGAAAACTGTTTTTCCAATGACAAGAGGTGCACTGCAATCACATCACATCACAAACAGCAGCATCAGGTGCCCCACTATATGTGTGCAGATAGTTCTCCAAAGTTGGGAAAGCACAGACATTACTTTGTTTTATTAACAAAAAGCTGCAGCTTTTTCGGCATGGCAGTGATCTTGTCAGACAAGTCAAAAATTGTTAAAGTGAGCCTCTGCAGTCCCGTAATCAGCTCATTCAGACATGATAATATATTAGAAAGTTAGGCTAATTTTACCAGCCACACTGGATTATCAAATAGACTTGCCAAGGGAGATTGTTGGTCATGCAAAAACATCTGTAGTGCAGTTCAAAGAGCCTCATGAGCACTTTGCCCCTTGATAACCCTCTCACTTCAATATGTAGCAAAAGCTACACATGTTCGCTGCCCATTTCATTACAAATCACACTTAATGGACGTTAATTAATTGGTCGAGCCTTGTTACAATTCACAAGTTTGACATCAGCAATTAAGACAGATTTTAAACCCCTCAGGCATTTTCTTGACTGCAAGGGCCTCGCAGTGGATGCTGCAGTGCATCCACTTCATATCTGGATCAACCTAATTTGATTCTAATTCTAATTCGTGAAACTACACCACTGTGCCGTCTTGTCATCGCTCTAGCACCGTCTGTACAAACTCTGCCGCTTTTTTTCCTGTCGATGCCATTCTCTTCGATAAATTCATTCAGAAGCTGAAATATGTCTTTCCTGTAGTTCTTATTGGTAGCGGCTTAGAGAACAGAAAGATCAGTACTTTTGGCGTCTCTTCCTTTCAGCCATGACATAACACTTGATTTTTGCAAGGTATTTATTTTCTATCAGTTGTTCTGTTGGCGAATGTGGTGCTGTTGGATATTTTTTTCCCCATTTCCTCTTAAAAGTCAGAAGGCCGACTCAGAAGTTAAAAAGTTTTGATTACATGCACAGGGGAGCGAAACACAGAGATGCTCGGCGTATTTTTCTCAAATGAGAAAAACAGTCCTTAAATATTTTTCTGTTATCCATCACGCTTTCCTTTGCTTACAAGATTGGCATTGTTCCAAAACCACGCACATTCTCCTACCTCCCTGTTTGCTAAAAATAACTTCTTTTAATACAATTGGTCACTTAGGTTCATAGCACGCATTCCTATACAATGGTATAGAATTACATAGTAGCTCTTGTGTCCACTCAAGTATTAGCACGCGCTGTATCTTGGTAGCTTAGTACCTAGGCTGCGTATTTGAAACATAAACTAATTTTATTAAACTAGAAAATATGAAAACCTGTCCCAATTTTTCAGTGCACACAGCAAATTTCCAGGGTCATCTGTACCACCTGCAGGCGCTCCACAGTTTGAGAACCACGGCTCTATCATATTCCAGTGGGTCCAGTTTAAGTGGTTTGGTCTCACTGATGGGGAGCAGTACAGTGCCGAAATGGTGAATCTGAATTGTTAAGTTTACAGTTGCATCCCGCGTGGCACCAAACTTAATACTGGATAGTTAAGTTTTTCCTTTTCAAAACTCTGATGCTGTGATACCTGTTCAGATGCATCAGTTTTTTGTGTGTAAGATCATGCTAATTAAATATGAATAGCTTGTTCCATTGTGGTTTAACCTGTAGATGACAGTGTGAGAAAGATTCACTGTCCTCTTGTACAAACTATGTAGTACATAGATATAAAGGGTAGAGTGGTACCTGTAATAAGTTATTATATTAAGTAATTATATTGGAATTTGTTCTGAGAATTTAATTGCTTGTGATTGCGCCATTAAATAAATTGCCTCTAGATCGTCTATAGCCAGTTTCGGAAACCATGTTATGTGATATTTGATTTGTCATTAACAGTTCTGAAGCTGTTAGTTTGGTCATTGGTCATAAATCATAATCTTCATCAATGACTGTTGAGTTGATTGCTGGAAAAATGTTTTTGAGTAACAGCAATTACTAGCTGTTTGGCCTACTAGTTTCGTTAAATTAGAAAACTGGATTGTTTTGGTTAACTCGTAATTTGTATCTGGTACAGTCCTAATGTGAATAAGTTTGACTGTCTATCATAAAATAAGAGTTTCCTTTAGAAAGGAATATATAAAAGGAATATATAAAACTGGGTTGGCCTAAATCTCAGTGCTAAATGTGTCTCCTAATCACCTCGAATCCTCATTTCATTGCTAAGATTGCGGTTGTCAGTTTGAAGGGTTTTGTAAGTATAGTTTAAGGAATACTTAAATCACATCCTCTCCTTTGTGTACTATCAGTTAATGGTCTAATGTCAAATTAGGATCAATGTGCATTGATCTGAAACAGAAAGTACATATCCTTACAATTCTGTGGTTTTACATATTAAGACATATCTGAGCTTCATAGTGTTCTCACCAAGTCCTTACAGAAGATAAATCTAACCTCATGTGATAGATTATATGTAACAATTTTACTTTGTCGCCAATATTCAGTAACTTTGTGTGAAAATGTAAGTGCACTCCGTGATTCAGTAATATGTGGAACCCCCTTTAGCAGCAGTAGCTTGAAGTAAAAGATTTTGTAAGAGTTTATCAGTCTTTCACATGACCTGGGAGGAATTCTGGCCCACTGCTCCTTACAAAATTGCATCAGCTCGGTGATGTTTGAGGGGATTAATTTATGTCCCACCACAGTATCTTGCTAAACCAGAATCCTGAATATTTTCGCTGTCCTGTTGCATTATCCACTTTCAACTAAGCTTTAGCTGTTGGACACATAGTCTCACATTTTCCTTTAGAATGCGATGGTATAGAGAGTATGGAAGCCTGTTTCCGCCAGGGAGTAAAAAAAACCTGCTATGGTATCTCAGAATTGCGACTTAGCGTCTCAGAATTGCGACTTTATATCTCACATTCGCGACTTCGAAATAGCCATATTTCATTATCTGTCCTTTTGTTATTGTAACGGATTCGGGTTCTAGGGCATCTTCCCTCGCCGCTCCCACCCTAGTTCGTGCCTCACTGCATTGGCTCGAACCCAGGTCTTGCCAGCTGAGCTAAAGAACACTTTCTTTAACCCCGGCAGCCAGCATCCCTGTTATGCGCAGGGGAGGGTGGTGCCGTCACCACACTGCAACCAGATCGTACAACCTGTATGTCAGCCGTTCCGTTACACTATTTTCATGAATCGTACAGGATCATAGGATCTATAAGCCTGAAGACTTGTCTTGTACAGTGCCCTGATAAAAATCAAATTAATTACACTAATTTTTATAGAATCCCATTTCCACCAGTGAGGCTTCCATAGTACCTGGATGGAATAGTGCACGGTGGGCTTTTTAAAAATAGTTTTTATTTATGGAGACAGAATATGAAATAAGATACAGAAATAGGCACTTCACATCCAGAGGAATTCACAATTATAAAAGCTGAAACATACTTTTTACGTATTTCCATTGTATGTCCTTTTTTACTTAAAAAAGAAGGTCTTCTTTAGCTCAGCTGGCAAGACCTGGGTTCGAGCCAGTGCAGCAAGGCACGAGCTAGGGTGGGAGCGGCGAGGGCAAATGCCCTAGAACCCGAATCCGTTACAATAACAGAAGGACAGACAATGAAATATGGGCTATTTTGAAGTCGCAAATGGGAGATATAAAGTCGCAAATGTGAGATATAAAGTCGCAAATGTGAGATACCATAGCGCGTTTTTTTTTACTCCCTGGCGGAAACAGGCTTCCATAAGTGAGGAATTCATGGTTGACTCAATGATTGTGAGGCTTCCAGGTCCTGAAGCTGCAAAGCAGATCCAAACCAATACCACCCCACCATCATGCTGATGGGTGATGTGAGGTACTTGTGGTGATGTGCAGTGTTTAGTTTTCACCAAACATGTCATTTTCCATTACAGCCATTCATCTCCACTTTGGCCTCATCTGTCCAGAGGACATTGTTCTGTTAGTCTTGTGTGTTTTACAAACTTTAGCCATTCAACAATGTTCTTTTTGGAGAGAAGGGTTTTTTTTATGGATACCCTTCCACGAAAAACTGGTCTTGTTCAGTCACACCGTAATGGCCGAATCATGAACTAACATTTACTGTATGACAGAAGCCTGTAGATCCTTGGATATAGCTGTGGGATTCTTCACGGTCTCAAGGAGCATCATACGGTCTGATCTTTGGGGTGAATTTCTGGGATGATCACTCCTGGGTATACTGGCAACTGTCTTGAACTTTCTCCATTTGTAATTATTTCTCACTGTGGAATAATGGACTCCACATTGTTAGGAAATGGATTTGTATCACCCAACCCAGAGTGATGAGCAGCAATGATTCTTTCTCTGAGACCATAACAGATATCTTTTGACCTGGGCATGATGTTAACTCTAACGTGAATGCACCAGTCCAATCTGACAGTTTCTGATTTTATATACAGATTCTGATTTTTTTTTAAATAAATAAATGACAGTGTAAAACTTGTGTGTGTTAGCTGTCACATGAGGTTACATTAATACTGTGAGGGCTTGGTGAGGTCTAGGTAAAAACTATAGAAACTTAAGAGGGTTTACTTTCACTTTCACATCACTGTACCTCCATTTTGTGAATTTGGTGTCTTTTCTTTTGCTTGTGTAGATTATGCCGGTTCAGGGACGCCAAATATGTAATCATAGTGGCTCTCTGAAGGCACCAGTTCTGTAGGGTTTGGGCATTTACTGAGACAATTATTAATTGTAGCAGTAAATCACAAAGTTGATTCTTTTGATGGCTTTAGAATCCAACCATGCGACATAACTCAAACAACGCGCACACACAGGTACTAATACACGAGGATACATTTATTAATACATAGAATATGCATATAAACCTAACAGATCTTATCGAGAGGGTTATCAGAATACAAAAGATATATATTCAATCAGTTACAAAGTGTTACACATATCAAGAGGACATACGTTCAGTATATCATTCATTAAGACCGTTTCGTAAAGTGAACTTGGTTACAACTTCTACATTAGATACTCAAACAAGTACATAACTCTTAGGAATTAAATTGATATCAACTGGTTGGGATAACAATTGAATTCTCGAGCTGTAATGCATTGAAGTTGAATACTCATCCAATCTTTGGGGATTCAGATCTCCTGCGGGCACAAAGAAACAGTTGCAGGCTGTTGCTGTCCAATCCGCGCTCTCTGGCTCCGTGCCAGGCTGTGATGTGCGGCTTGCGACGGTGCGCTGCTGATGCTCACTGTTGGCTTTAACTAGCAAAGTTTGTGCACAGGAGAAAAGATGACTGTGGGTCCCAGCAAGTCAGGAAGAGGACCGGTTCGTTCCTGATGAAGAGCTAGTTCTGAATAGTGATTCAGCTTTCCACAGTTCCGACCTGTTCAGGAGGCCTGCTGCTGGTTACTCTCTGGCAACCTCCACTCTAGACTCTTAGAACAAAGGAAAGTTCTGGCACTCGGACACACTGGCCGTTCCGTGGTTGTCCGGGCTGAGTCTCAGGATGGTAAGGAGGCGCGCTGCGAGAATGTCCTGCCCTTGGGATTCTCCTTTGAATTCCCTTTAGAATCTGAATCTGAATCTCAGTCTGAATCTTGTTGAATCTGAATCTGAATCTTGTCTGAATCTCTCAGGCTCTCTGTGTTGCCTGTTTTTACCTGGAGGAACTTCAGCTCATTGATTGGCTGAAAGTTCCATGGGCATCAGAGTCCCACGTGGGTTACTCGGCCCTACCAGTCCCTGATTGGTTGATCAAGGTGAGATATGAGTCACTTAGTCCTGACACTTAGTAATGCAGTCCAGATGTCCAACTGGCACTCCCTAGACAGATAGGCGCCAATGGGTGACCATTGATCATGATAGCCAGGCTTAGCTAAGTGCATCCCCCTTTGGGAGCTGTCCTTGGACCTTAAATCACCTTGCATGAATGGTTTCTCTGTGGCTGCACCACAGAGATGAACAGAGAAATGAGGCCTCATTTGGGAAGCTCAGAAACACTTAATTCTGCCTTATTATTAAGCCTCGCCACTACACTTGATTCTAAATTTACATACTTAACTTGAGTTAGGCCAAAGTTTTTTGTTTTGCTTTCATCAGATTATAGCTAAATCGTTTGTTATTAGAAGTAATTTTACCACAGAGCAGATTATGCAGAGTTTTGTTTTTCACCATCTGTTTTAAGTATTAAAATGCATGGGACGGATTTAAAAAAAACAATCTTACACAATTAACTTGGCACACATTTCTTCAACTAGAAGAAAGAGGACAAGGCCACAATTTATAAAATATTGAAATATGTTTTCTTTTCTGGTATTTTTTCTGAAACTAGTGCAAACTGTGGTGTGGTGGTTAGGTCTCTAGCTCTGGGCCCAGCCGTTTGATTCCAGACTAGGCATTCTTCTGTATGGCGTTTGTATGTTTCCTTTGTCATCTGGGTTACCTCCAGAGGTTCTGTTTTTCTCCCGACTTTCAAAGGCTAGGATAATTGGTGTCTCTAAATTGTGCTTTTGTGTGCATAGTCCTGCCTCATGCCCTGTGCTGTCCAGGAAGAGTTGTGGGTTGTAGCAACACCAGCCCGTATCAGAAATATGTGACTTTTTGGCTGGATAGGTGGGTGACTGTGTGTGTTGCAAGCAGGATTTGTTGGTTTTAATGTGATTGAAACCATCACTCTTTTTTTTACCTTCTCAGAAAATGTGTTTATTATGTTTTTCAGTCTCCCATGTTTGATGGCAAAGTCCCCCATTGGCATCACTTCTCCTGCTTCTGGCAAAGAGTATCAGTCCAGTCCCCAGGGGATATTTCGGGGTTCACAGACCTCAGATGGGAAGACCAGGAGAAGGTGAAGAAAGCCATTGAGACAGGAGGTGCAAGTTCTGGAGGTAAAAGCTCTTTCTAGAAACCTGTGCTTAAAACATTTTTGCTTAGACTACCCCTGCACTTTTCCTGTTTGTTTTGAACAGGAGACTTATTACTTTGACCAGAACCTGAAATTTCAACTTCATAAAAACAGACAAGTCACAAGGATGCAGAGGGTCTATCCGGTCAGTGCAAAGTCCACATCCTAAAACAAGTTCAGTGCTACAAAATCATTATCATTTGCAATCAACGCAAGACATTTTTCAAAAGCAGTGATATGTATGTATGTCTGTCTGTACATTGCAAATAATTTGTCTGCTTTAGAATATTTTGGAAAAGGCTTCCTTCAGTGCATCTCTACTACAGTGCTAATGATGGGATTGTGAAAGTATTGTGAATTGTGAATGTATGCAGAGGCATCTAAATCAGTTGTACAGTTCTTACTATGCTTTACATTTCAAAAGTGTGGAGGATGCATGAAGTCACAGCGAAGCTCAGCAGTGGTTTGAAATTAGTTGTAGTTTGTTACAAAAAGGGCCGGAGGTTTTTCGGGAATTGTTGTAGTTCGAGTTCAACTGTGGTTAGTCCCCGTTATTACCATGAATGGGGGTTTTGAAGCCTTTCGGTAATTGCGGAAATGTCACATAGAACAGGTGGCTTTAAATGTAAAATGTACTCTGGCCAGATCAGGAATGAGCCCGGGTCAGGATCTATAAAAGCAAAGGGTGATTTTATGTTGAAGGGCAATAGCCGGTTGCAAGGTGGACAGCTCCTGGACGCTGGAAAGTGCACATTTTAATCAGTTGTTTGAGGTCTTTTTTGTTATTAATGCACAACAAATAATACTTCAGCCGTGGTACTTTGATTATCAGATGCATTGCTGGAAAGGCAGTAACAGCAACAAAAAATAATAGATGAGCTGCTGCTTTGGTTCAGCCGTAGTCAGTAGATGGATTAGAAACTGTCACAAGAGTTATTTAAATGCATACAACTGTAAACCTTAAATACCAGAATATTTAATGTCATTACCATTCTTCTTCAATCTAGTTCTTAGAATGAGTTAAAACTTCCTAAATGTGTCAATCTGTGCATGTTGATCATCTTAAAGTTAGAACAGTAAGATGTGTGGTAGATGTCTTTGACTGTACAGGAATCATTTGTTCTGTTCATCGAATAAAATAAATTACTTTGAAACCACAGCGGAAACTTGCAGAACAAATTTTCCCGTGCAAAATTGGCAATGGAGTGAATTTTTTTAAACTGTAGATGTGAGCCCTGACTGAAAATCCCCCTGCCTTTTCGCTCTGAGTGTGACATGTCACACATGAGGAGTCTGCTTTGTAACCGTTCTTATATTCTTATGTATAAAGTTCCTCTTTTACATGTAGTTTTCAAGCTTAGTAAGATGTATGCAAATGTGAAGATATCTCCACCATGCTCAGTGGCAAATGGTTTAAGAAGACTTTTACTCAAGTAGAGGGTGATGATAATGTTTTGTAGTTTTCACTTCCAACTTGCGACACAATTTATTCAACATTGGATATGGATAACTGAATGGTTATAAGTCCTTAGCTCCCTTTTCAGCTAAAATACTTGAATGTTAAAATGTAAAATACTTGACTTGAGAAGTATTCTTTGCCTTATGTTTTCACTAGGATACATTTCTATAAAAAAAAACAATAACGGCTAGTGCAATACTGAAAAGGGCAAGGGGCATTCTGAAATATTTTGTTTTTCTTTTACTCAGCAGAACATCTACTTACTAGACTAGTGAGAGAATTAAAAGAAATGGAAAGCTATTGAGTAGTTCGATAGTGATGTATTTCATGTTGTTTATATACGTAGAGTATACTTATTCTCATTCTAAATAGTACATATATTACACGCAATTAAGCAGTACATTTTGTGGAAAGCTGGCCTACAGTGTTTAAATGCCACTATCATTCTCCTGTACCCTGCAGGAATTTGATGTGTTGTTTATCCTTGTGTTGCTGCTATTTATTGTAGTTTCACAACATAAAGTTTAGATTAACTTGATTAATGGACAGAAACGGTGCAGAGGGCATACTACCTGTACCAAACACCAAATCACTGGGAGAATAGTCGTATATTACAGATTTTGTGTTGCTTATTGTTTCAGATAGCTCTTGAAAGAAGCCTGTAAAAATGTGTTTAACTTTTGTCTCTCCTGTTACTTTGTGCAACAATGTTCTTTTCCTCTTAGGGGGTTGTAAAAGGAAAGTGTAAAGGAAAGAGGAAACCAGAAAGCCAAAACTGAAAAGCTCTTTTGTTCTTGTAGAAATATTCACGTTGGGGGGCAGAGCCTGAGGAAATTTGCGCAGGCTTCCTGAACTGTACCCCCAATCTTTGCCGACTACGGGATCTGCAGCCTTTATTGGCCGATACAGGCAGAGTGGGATTTGCTGACTTTCTTGCACTGAGAGGTTGTTGAAAGGAGACTTGATTTTTTTTTTTCTGTGTGTTTCAGGAAAGGGTGACGCAAAGGGTGGTGCCAAAGGAGAGAAGACATTGAATGATTTTGCAGTGGAATATGCAAAGTCCAACAGGAGCACCTGCAAGGGATGCAATGAGAAAATAGAGAAGGTAAAGTGTTATGAATGAATAGGCTGAGTGGCTGTTCCACAGCCTTTGTAATTCTAGTCATTTTAATTCTTGTTTTTATGATAGTTCCTGTGACATGATTGATTACTTTCACTGGTGTTTGTTCTCACTGATAAACTCGAATTTGTCATTGATTCATTTTTGGACATTTCTTCACTTTGGTGAATTATTGCTTTAGAATCCTGAAAATGCTGAAGAAGCTTTCATTTGTAAACAAGACTTCATACATCGTCAGTTACCCCTTTTACCCCAGTTACCTCAAATTTGTATTAAAATCTTACTTAATGTAGTTTGAAAAAGCCATTGTTTCTAGCCTAGTTTTAAAAAAGTACAGTAGAGTTACAAGGAATATGTCACTCCAAATTATTAGAAAACGCATGTCTGACAGTGTCTACTTAAAGAAATATTAACAGTGAATGAAGAAGCAGTTCATACAACAAAGTGTTTTAACACCTGATTTCTTTAATGTTAACTATGAACCAGTGTTGTTTACAGGGTCAGAAATATTCACATGGATTGAGCAAATGCCAAACTTTTTTCTTGCTGTCTCATCCGATTCCTGTCGAGATGGAATTGAAATGAAATACAATGCACTGAGAACTGTTACCTTAATGACACATTCCTATGTCTCTGTGTTGTAATTAAGCTCTATAAATCTATAAATCATGGATAGCATCATAGAGATCAATTTAAATTTCAAAGAGCGAAAGGAACATAGGGATGTGCAGTTTTTGATATTTTAGGTCAGTTCAGCTACCGGTCGGTTTTATACAAAGAATTCTGTTTTTCGTTTTTTAAGTGATAAGTATAGCAATGCTGTTAACATTGTTTTTGAAGACCATAACATGCTGCAAAGAAAGGAAGTATTTCTAAAAAAAACCTTGTTCAAACCTGGGTATAATAATTCTGACCTACTAGTGTTACATGCTGACTTCATAATTGAAAATAATATGCACTTACAATATTAAATTGCAAAAGATGCACACAGGTGCTCTGAAAGTAATCAATAAGTCAGGTATTTTACATTCTTTGGAAAATAAACATGTATGCAGAGGCATCTAAAAATCGTTTTGCTGAAACACTAGAATTAGTGAAAGTCACAGAGATTGTTAGTGAGACAGATGACCTGTTCTCCAAACTGGTTTGTTTTGCAGGTTTCTTATAAAAGGTAAAAACATATGGGGGAAATTGTATTGTTTAAAATATATAAGTATTTATATTCAATATAAGTATTGAATGTAGAACAAAACCGTCGTTGTTGCAAGAAATAACCTGGTCAATAGAACACAGCGTTTTTTGACTAAAACAATCCATGATGATTCTGTTAGCAAGTATACTCATAATATGTATTATATAATATTTATTATGAGTATACTTGCTAACAGAATCATCATGGATTGTTTTAGTCAAAAAACGCTGTGTTCTATTGACCAGGTTATTTCTTGCAACAACGACGGTTTTGTTCTACATTCAAATGGTGAATTCAAAATGAACTGTGCACATTTTGGTTATAAGGATAAAGAGGACTTTTCAGTTATAGAGATTGCATTCAATTGTAGTATCATATTTATTTTTTGCAATTTACTGGCTATATTCATTTTTATGTTCACCTCTAAGTGGCATAAATTTTAATTTACATCTGCAGACATTTGTACGTAATTTATGTAATTCGCAGTGACTTTCTTTTTACACAATTTAGAGACACAATACTGCTTATTGATCACTGTCGATCAACCTTTTATCAGTGCTGTAAGGCAAGGTGTCTAAATGTCCACTTAGACTTTTGGTCAATGTTTAGTTATGGGAGAAAAACAGACTTTTTGCACAGTTAGAGATTACTTAAAAAAGAAATTAAAACGCATGATTAATTGCTGTAGAAAAAAGGCTGGTGGACTGCTTTTTAAATTGTGTATGTCAAGATATTTAATCGTTTAATTTAGATTTTGCTTTAAATATATAATTAATTAAAAACTGTTGAATGTATAACATTACTACATATATAAGCAGTATGTAGGCAACAAGCAAGCACAAACTAAATTCAAAGGTTTATTTATTGGAAAATTGGAAACTTGTCAAAAGCTGGCAAAACTCGGAGCAATATCCTGCACAGATTTTCTGATCAAAGTAGCCTGTGTGCCTGTGTGAGTTCTTGGTTTCCTTTCCCAAACAGGTACAGAGAATGCAATACCTAAACGCCATCAAAGACAGACCGATTAAAATGACCAGTGGGAGTTCCTGTGCAATAAAAGTTGCCGATAATATCTAACTACAGAAATGTTATTGCTGCCAGACACCAAAAATCATTACAGATATTGCAAAAAAAATTGCCCATTACAAGCCCAAAACCTGAGTATGTTTCAGTTTGGTGTCAGTTTTTTTTAATTAAACTCCACATCTCTAGAGGAAAGCACTGTTTTTTTTTTACTGTCCTAGTTCAAGAAGAAATAAGTTCATTTATTCTTCATAGCTGTCTTGGGCTTGAAAGGTTTGTCAAAACGTGTTGCTCAGGCATGGTATAAGTTCCGTGATAAAAAAAAAATCTTACACTTTATGCATCCTTTACTTCTGTACCTCTTTTAACACACTTATGATCAAATGATGTCAGTTGTGGTTTTAGTAACTTGCAGTGTTAGACACTGCTAGGAGTGAAGGTTTTCTTAGTTGATGTCTGGTTGTTTTTCAGGATCAAATCAGGGTGTCTAAGAAGACAATTGACCCAGAGAAGCCTCAGTTGGGCTTAATTGACCGCTGGTACCACACAGGCTGCTTTGTAAGCAGAAGGGAGGAACTGGATTTCAAACCTGCCTACTGCGCCTCGCAGCTTAAAGGATTCGCCGCTTTAAGAGCAGAGGATAAAGAAGAGCTGAAGAAAAGGCTGCCAGTTGTCAAGACTGAAGGGTATGTTTCTACACGTGTCTGTCTGCTTTCTTTATTTTGCTGTCTTTTCCCTGATTTGCAATTTGTTCAGTGTGATATTGTGATATTTTCTCAGCACGGATCTATTGTGGTACAGGGTTAATAACAGGGGACCATTTTGCTCGTTTGTAGCTTGTTGGTTGTTACAGTAGGAATTGATCCAAGGTATGTCTGAGTATGTGCTTCGACTTCATGGCTGGACAGCTTGTTCCATATTCCCACAACTCTTTCTGTTAAAACAAAATGCCTTCTGTTCTAAATTTTCAATAGTGTCTCTTATTGATACCACATGTGTCATCTCGTTTTTTCATTTCACTTTCAAGTCTGAAAGCATCAATAGGACTGACTTCTTCAGTGACTTGGAGGTTTTTTAATATACTGTGATGTGTCATGGTAGTATTCTTTTAAAAATGAAAAGTTTAAGTTCTTCTAGCCCATCAGTGTAGAACATTCTTTGAGTTTGGGAAAGGTTGTTTTTCTCTACATTGATTCTGGAGCAGTGCAATGTGTTTTATTGCATCTTGGTCACTAGTATTGTATTAGGCATTTTAAAAGATGTCTTAGCAGTGCAATTTTAACATTATATTCCTTAATTTCAGTTCTTTGCTTTGTAGTATATATTATAACACTGTGCTTTCCTTTTTATTGCTTCCCCACACTGTTCAGCAATTCAAATGTCTACACAGATGGTCTTTCTCCTACGTAGCTTCTGCAAGTTCAGTCTTCCTCAGTTTGTATTTGTAGTTGATTTTGCTTCCAGCCTGTAGCACCCTGTACTTGCATAAATTAAATATGTTCTGTCAGGTATTGGGCCAGTCCTGTATTTGATCTGTGCCCTTTTCAATTTTTTGTTGTTGTCCACAGTCTTTGCTTATCCTTTTATTTTGGTACTGTCTGCAAATCTAATTATGTAGATTTTTTCAGTATAAATTAGGGAAAGCAGTGGTCTTAATACATAGATGTGAAAAACATATTATTATATATTACAAGGTTTACTTGAGATCTTTGACCTGTTATGATTTGTGCTTCTGGAGCTTTGTGTTATAAAAAAATCCTTTTCCCATGACCTTTCATAAAAGTCAACTTCTTTTAGCACTTTGCAGAATTATTGTATAATTATGGTTATATACTGTAATACATATACGTAGCCATAAGTCGGAAACATGCCCATGTAAAGGACTTGCCCATTGGCTACCTATAGTCACTGCTTGCTGGCATATTTGTATTTTTTTCCATCATCAAACACCCTTATTGAGGGACAGCATACAGTGTTTCAAAGTTTTATATTAAATATTAAAATTAAGGCAATCATGGGAATGTCAGATTTGTGGAAATTTAAATTAGAATGTGACAGTTCATGCCACTTTTTTGTTTCAAGAGAAACATTTTTTGGCAGAAGCCAATACAAGAAACACACTCCTGAATTTTTACTGCTTTACTTTTAATACAACATTGATAGTTCTACCTATAGCTAAAGTATATGGTCTACAGCTTTTTTAAAATTCAAACTTAATCTGTGCACGCTAAATGATTTGAGTAAATGCATTGAAGGTCTACAGAGATAATGTATGTTATCTCATATGTTTGAATCAGCTTTTTAATGCACATCACCTTGAATTTATTTGTGCACTTGAAAAAAATCAATTCCAAAACCCCAGACAGAAGTGTTTTAAGGTTTTAGGCAGTGATCTTACAGCATTTATCAGACATTAATATACTTTTAAAGCATGTTTGTCCTTAATTAAAATGTTATTGCTCTTAACAGTACATATTGTATCTATATAATTGAAATAATCTATAGAAATGAATTGCCTTCATTACTCTGCTCTCCTCCCCACTGATAGCTGATGTGTGGTGAGCGTTCTGGCGCACTATGGCTGCCATCGCATCATCCAGGTGGATGCTGCACATTGGTGGTGGTGGAGGGGAGTCCCCTTTACCTATAAAGCGCTTTGAGTGGAGTGTCCAGAAAAGTTCTATATAAGTGTAAGCAATTATTACTATTGTATAAATACTCCTTCACCCAGCATCTCTGATTAGACTTGCCTGAATCAAAACATGCACTAGAATATTCTTCTGAAAGAAAATGTAAAGTATATAATTGTAATGGTATTCTTTTGAGTGCTTTATAGTATTGTAGTATTATAGAAATGTATTGGCTTTTTTTGAGACATGTTGAAAAAGTGTATGATGGAAGGCACGAAAGATGTACAATAATAGCTTGTCACCCTTGAGTTTATGGGGGAAAAAAGGGGAAATTCAGCTTATTAAAATCCCTCAAACATTTTTTTCACCTATAATAAAGTAAAATAAAAATAACATAAAAGTAATGAAAAACAGTGTATTTTGGAAATAATATTTTAGTCTAGAACATTTCAGACATTTTTTACCTTTATTTCTGTAATGATCCCCATTTAGGTTGGGCCACATGAAATGTATGAGACCTTAAAAGCGACGTCACTCTTCCACTTACACCAAACAACCAACCAACTTAGTCCTATTAGTCCTTCACACTACTTATCAAGCACTTAATTTTTTCTTCTAATCTTGTCCTGTATCTAAACAGGGCACTAAACTCATTTCTCATACACTTAGGCGCCGTTTTAATTTTTAAATTAATTTATGTATAACTAATGTTTATCACTTCTTTTTAGGAAACCACTATTTCTAACACTTCTTTGCACAATCAAATATTAATAATCAACAAAGCTCAATGTCATAATGTGACATGTGCCGAGCACTTTAAGAATAGGAGAAAAATTGTGGACGTGTCTTGAGGTTCTGAAGCTCAAACTGGAGGTTTGGTGAAATAATACGAAAATACACAAATGTCCGCTCGTATACTCAAAATCACATGCAGTTAATCAAGGATTTACTGTATTTCTAAATACTAAATTAAGAAAGCAAAGTTTTCACAGTGGTGTTTTTGTGACCCACATTATGACTTAAAAGACAAAATTTGGGAGTGGGAAAGAAACCTTTTGGGGAAAACGCCCCCCCCCCCAAAAAAAAAACTTGTGTATTCAAAGCAAAAGCACCAAAAACACAGATTTGAAGGGTTTCACAAAAAACCTGCAAATATATGTTTAAATAAATGTAGAAAAGCAGAAGCTTTGTTTAAAATCCAGTGTCTCAGCCTGCTTTTCCCAGGAAGAGTCGGTCAGGTCCCGTTGCCAGTGGTGGCTGGCCTGTCTTGGCCGTCTTCTGGCTCGATCACATTGCTGGAGCACAGAAAGATGGCCTTGAACGTCCTGCGGAAGGCCTTCATCTTGTAGGCGTAGAGGATGGGATTGACAGCGGAGTTGGCGTGGGAGAGGATGATGGCGGCGAGCAGCAGCGGCACCGGGATGGAGCAGTGTGGGCAGAGCAGGATGAAGCAGTTGATGATGTGCAGGGGGATCCAGCAGACCGTGAAGAGGAAGAGCACCAGGAAGAGGGAGGTGGCGGTCTTCATCTCCTTGCGGATGCTGGCGGCCCGTTTGTCCTGCGACCCACCCCCCGTGACCCTGTCCGCAGCCATACGCCGGATCTGCCGCTTCACTGTGGTGAAGATCTGGGCATAAATGAGGAACATGATGACCAGGGGGGTCAGCACACAGCCAAAGAAGTTGAAGTACACCATGTAGGTCATGTCTACCACAAAGACAAAGAAGCAATAGCCCGACTCGGGGGGCGTCTTGTACCAGCCCATGAGGGGCACCAGTCCAATGAGGAAAGCCAAGATCCAGGTAATGATGATGATGAGGATTGCATTGCGAGACGTCATGATGCTGTGGTACTGGAAAGGGAGAAAGATGGCGATATAGCGTTCTATGGCTACAGCCAGCAAGCTAAAGATGGAGCTCTGGGTCAACATGATAAGCACGGAGAGCATAAGCAGGCAGAGGTACAGGTTGTGCCTGGGGATACCCACATCAGTCATTATGGCACACGGAATGGCCAGGGCTCCCACACAAATGTCTGCAAAGGCCAGTGACACCAGGAAGTAATTGGTGACCGTGCGTAGCCTCCTGTTTTTCCCCACCGCGATGCAGACAAGCACGTTGCCCACAGTGGAGAAGGCAGCAATGACGAGCTCTGCCACTGTGTACGGGATGTTGAGAGAGATGAAGACCTCTGTTGTCTGATTAGGCAGGAGGTTCTCCTGCGAAGATACAGTTGTGAATCGTTCTGAAGCATTCATGGTCTCCAGATCCAAAGAGTTGTTGAAGGAACAATTTTTCTGCTTTTAACAAGGTATTAAATTATTTTTTTCTGAAAGGAAAGAAGCAAATCTTAATTTTTGGGGGTAAAAAGATGGAACATCCAGAACCTGAAAGAAATTAGGATATTATAAGTGATAGTTTAAGAATTTTGGACATTCCAATATTTACTCTAGTTTGCTTGACCCACATTTAAATGCATAGTACTACACATTTAAAAAGACATTCAAGAATGAAATAAAGATATGTTGGTATTGCTAAGCGACTCATTAGGGTGGCAAGCTTATTAAAGCTTAATATTTTATTGTCTGCAAACATGTAGAATAGTATCATACTGTGCTTTTTTATAGGCATTTTAAAAACTGCTTCTGAGAATCATGGTAGTGAAATGTGTGATTCTTTAAAGTACTGGAAAAATAATTTTCTGTTTTTTATTGTGAATTTCGTATTCTCATATGTCTAATAAACTGCATGGTGTGCTTTTGTGGTGCTTGGTTGTTCTTTATCTGCAAAAGTAAAATGTTTTTCGAGGACAAAAGAAAAACTGTGGCAATGATCTATGATACAAGGTAGTGAGATTTTGTTTTGTAAATTTATAATTTAAGAAATCTTAAACAATGCAGAAAATTAGAATTTGTTAGAATGTCTGTTGTTTCAACACTTTTACAAATACCAGTATTAAATTGCAAAGTGTTGAAATTTAAAAAAAAAACTGCCTGGCAGGGGTCAAACTACAGAGATAAGGAAATTCAAGTATCCATCCTTTGTCAGAAAGTTGAGTGTTTCAGGTAAGAGTTTTGGCGAACAGGAGACACTCACAGAGGTACAGGGCATAAAGCAGGACTACACACTGGACTGTATGTACCAGGACATCACAGGATAAGATAAGCAAATATTGATTGATATGACACTTTTGTTTTTATTTTAATTGTAATATTTAGATTTTTATATTTTGTAAATATTTTTTACCATTGTTTTTGTTTTTTTAAATGTATTATTTATTGTTGAAGTAGTTGTGGCAATGCAACTGAAACATGTCAATTAACCTGAAAACCGAGGCAATCCCTTTGGTGAGAATTTTGTTTCAGAGGCTTTCAGTCATAATCCCACAAATGATTGTCAGCCAAACACTGCTTCCCAATGTCTGGACCTGCAGTTCCTATTGTACTGACTATGTTTGCTATTGCAATAATACATCATCAGTAGGCTAAAACTAATCTAAAGGATAAAACATGGAAGAAAGACTTAGATCAAGACTGACAAATCCTACTTCTGTTGACCTGCACTCTGGTAGGTTTTGTAGGTTGCCCTTAAATAATTGACCGCTTTTTAACTTTTTTAATCACTTAAGTGGGCTCAAATTGAAATGTTTATAGAGATTATATGAAATAAATATACCAACACTATAGCTATCAAGTGCCACAGTTGGCCATTCCTCGTAAGCGAATCAACCGATTTGCTGAATTGACCAATTGATGCTAAGTCTAATCGAAAAATGTGGTCTGTAAGACCTGCATGATCATGGTCCTCCCGGACAAGATGAGGTCCTGCAAGAAAAGCTTGTAATGAAAGCAATAATCTTTAAAACAAGATTTAAATTGTTTCTTTGCTATAGCAATGTGAAATGGTCTTTTGTTAGCCCTGCGGTTTGATAAACTGGTTGTCCACAGCTAGTAAAACATAATAACTTCAAATACACAGAACAGGAATGGAAAAAATGTCATGCTTTCATCATGCTTTTATAAGGCATTTGCCAAAATAGTTTCAGTTGCTTGGTTTTGCCTAAAATGAAAGAAAAATTATTTTTTGTGGCTTTTTACTGTTATATCCCATAGATATTTTTGTAAAAGAGTTACATTTTTATTTTTTTTCTTTGATATGCTTTAATTCTTGCTTGTTAGACGTATGTTTTTTCTTTATTTTTCAGCCATGAAATTGCTCTCATTTTCTTCATATCTGATTAAAAATGTGAAAACATTAGATATCTAAAAGTGTTTAGAATCTCTAAAAATCTACACAGTTTAGATATTGTTTTATTTTTTCTATAATAAATTCCACTTACCGAAAACACAGCAGCTGTGGGAACGGTGCTGGAGGAATACAAAAGCTCCTGTGTCTGAATCACCAGAAACTGATAAGAACACTACAAGCTTGACGGGAGCACTGAAAAAAAACATACATTTTTGTTTTTAGCTTTGTCTTTCATTCGGACTGTGTGAAATGTCTGTTCAGTGCTTTCACTTTTCTCTACTTAGGTGCTTTATGTTCAGTCCAGTGATTGAGGGAGTTTATATAGTTTTTTTTTCCTTCATTTGTTTGGACTGTGGCTCTGTCCACAAGCCATTAATGATGTGTCTGGGGACAGTAGGTGGACGGGCAGTGTCAGAAGGTCTTCAGAGAGGAGATGAGGCCCCTTTTAAATTAGAGTCATTAGGGAACTCCTTAATTAAGACTGAGGTAGACGTGCTAGTCGTGTCTTGTGTGGAATAGGTAATTGGTTGCTAATGAATCCCTTCGATAAATACGTAGGAATAAAAAAGTAGGAATATTTGCAGCACGCTGATAAAGTTCACACACCTGTTTCGACGAGCATATGACCATAATAAAGGTGTTGCTTTTATTGGTTTGTTTGAAATTATTAATTTCGCACTTTGTAAGGAGTGTAAGACTTTTTTTCTCTAGATGTTGTGAACTTGTTCCATGGTTTAGATTTAAAGGGTGGTGTAATGAAATGGACAAACATTACTTAGGACTTAAGATGGGTTTGCAGTAGGTTTCTTCTCTGGGAGGTCATTGTTTTTCTCTGTGTTGGTGAGTAAATTATTTTTGGTGTGTAGAAATACACATTTACCCTGTGTTATGTGCATATAAAACAGTATCAGTGTGCAAACATAGTACAACCCCTCAAAATTAGACATTTACTTTTTGTGTAGAGCTTAATAATGAGACGACCTATTACAGGTAGTGTTTTTACCGAATAAGTAATTTCAAAATAAGTAATAATTTGATTATTTTGTGGAATGTTTGGGATCTTTATCCTCTTGATTTAGGTTCCTTTTCAAAGTGGATCAGCATACTCCACCAAATAATTGTAAAAAAAAGATGAGTAATCGGTTTATGATGTGATAAAATATTAGGCTGCAGTTTGGGGGGATTTCATGTGGACAACATACTCAACATTGCAGATGCAGTGGGTGATTATGATTTGTAATACTCTGTATACAGCACTGATGATCTGTTTTGCAGTGATCTATGAACGTTTATTTAGAATACACCATTGTGATATAAAGCAGTTATATGCATCATGGTGCTTTATTGTATTGTATATAACAGGTGAAATTTTTTACCCTGTCAGTTACAGTGCACTGGTGTAGTCTAGGAGTCTTTATACAGTGTTATCATTAATTTAGATTATGGCGTCTTAGTTGACTGCTTTCAGAATGGAACTCCATATTTAAATAATTGATGTATATTATTGTTTATGGAAGGTGATGTGTGCGTTTTCTGTGAGCCCCCCCGGACCCCCCTGTGTTCCAGGTCTGTGGATTTATCCTGGAGCATACAATTTCTAAATAAAGCAATAATTGTACAGTATCATATTTTGAGCCGTATCTGTTAAAATAACTTAATTAATAGGATTATATGATATTTATTTTAAAAAATGCAATGTTGACTTTCCAATAAATTCATTTTTATCTTATGCTTTAGAGATACGTTCAACATATTCAGTGCTTTAATCGCAGAAACCTAATTAATATATGTATATAGTGTTGTGGTAAGAATTTTTTTTATTTTGTTGTAACAAAACCAGATCTCTAATAGGTTCTGTCTTGATAGTTCCAGGAGAGCACACAGCTCATTTACTGGAAGATGTGGTGGGACATAAAAGAAGGTTAATGATTTTATGGTGTGCATTTATATTGCAACTCATAGATAGATGGATGGGATCAATATTGCATATTAAGACACGCAATCAGAAAGGAATACTTTTGTCTTATTTTTTTATATAAGAGTTCATGATTCGATCCCTGTCTTCAAAAATAAAATGCCCAAAAGAGAGAGAGTAGAGATTAGGTTAATTGGTTGTGCATTCAAACTTTAACCGATATCCTTTTCAGAAAAAGGAAGGGAGATGAAGTAGACGGAGATGCCACGGCCAAAAAGAAGCAGAAGAAAGAAGAAAAGGAAGAGAAGCAGCGTGAGAAGCAGCTTAAGGTTCGTAGGGCCCGTTTGTTTTTGCCAGCTGTATAGTGAAACTGCCTAAGATTCAGCAGCCCTTACAATGTGGCGTCATCTCCTGTCTCTGCAGGAACAGAACCAGCTCATCTGGAACATCAAAGATGAGTTGAAGAAGTCCTGCTCCACCAATGACATGAAGGAGCTTCTCATTGCAAATGGTCAGGAAGTGCCTTCAGGAGAATCCAACGTAGGTTCTACCAACACATCCTTTTGTACTCCTATATACTAAAGGACCATGGTTTCAAAAAAGGGTGCAATATGCAGGAGGCCTAGCATATATTGCTTAGGCTTGTTTGGCATCTTTTTAAAATATTGTTCCTTTTAAAACGTTAAAGCCCTTGATTGTCCCTTTGGGTAGACAGCCGTCTTCATTAGATCAACAAATTGCTCACAATTTTTTTCGACAGGAATTTTAAACAAAGGAATTTTAAAAAGATCAGAG